AATTAATTTAATAATTATTATTTCATAATTAAATTATAAATAAATTTTAATGAAAACCTGATTTTTGAAATTTAAAACTTCAAACCTTAATTTTGAAATGGTGATACTTAAATACCTTATTTATGTATTGTTCCCAATTATAATCCTAAAACCAAATTGTGCCTCTAGCATAATTAAGTTACAGTCCAATCCATCTTTTAATAAAATAAAATCTCAATAGATGTTAACACAAATCGAAAAACTCCAATAGTCTCCCGCTTTGTGCAACATTGATCGATAGTTTACAATTTTTAAATGAGTTTAGAAAATGGTTCTCTAGTTAGACTACAAACTTCCCAATATTTTGTGGCCACTTTTGAAATATATCTTGAAAATCACCTGAAAAAAATGAACCACCAACATACTTATCTTGATCAAATCACTATCGCCATTCACTTTGATTGAATTGCTACTTAATTTTGGTTAAATATTGATTACTGTAGGGAAAATTCAATGTTGGATGGTAGATAAAGAAAATGAGCAAAAATCGATCAAAGAGGACTGAAGATTATGAAGTCTAAGGACTAAATTATAAATCTTGGAAATTTGAGACAAACCAAGATTAGATGATTGTGTATGACAAGGATCAAATTGGAAAGAATTAAAAGTTGAAGGACTCGTTTAACTGATAGAAGGGAACTCGAGCTTCACCGAAAAATGAATTCAAGGTCTAAGATGAACAATAACCAAAAATATGGCATCCTTTTGAGATCACAAGGGTCTTCCATGCGATCGTAGTGAAGCCTATATGATTTCCAACAACTCAAGACACATAATCATGCGATTACAATGGCCACTACCATGTGATCACTTGGTATTTTTTATAACAAAAATTCGGTTTCATAATTTGCCTCAACCTATTTGAGTACCATTTACGTTCCTTTTTAACCTTATTTTGGGACTGAAAGGTGAAAAATGCGAGATTCGACCCAACTACACCTAGAGGGGGGGTGATTAGGTGTAAATGCGGAATTAAAACTTTAATCAACAAGCAACGAGTCACAAGTTAATTATGTCTAAGTGATTAGTCAAACAATTCAATTAATCCTATCTTTGAATGCCGCAATAATATCAAAACAGTAAGAACAAAGTAAACAACAGTAGAATTGTTAACGGAGAAACCCAACACGGGGAAAAACTCTGGGGACTTTGCCAGTCAAAGATCCTCTATAAACTTTTGATAAACTTACAGACTACCGGCAAAGTTGACGACACAAGCTTTCTGATCTCCTGTCTGAAGTTTGAAGCAGCCCTCCTAGAATGTGTACACTAACACCTATCATGACTCTTCTTTGTAAAGCAATCCTCCTGGAATGAACACATGAACTCTAATCCTGACTCTTTACGCAATTTATCTCTTGTAGATCTTCCCAAGAACTCTTCATTCTTCAACTTCTTCCTTGATCTTCAAAGCATCAAAGTTGACGACACAATCTTTTTGACAGACCCAAGCGAAGAATGCAATTTGGTGATTGACTTGATGGATTTGATGTTTTCAATAAGATAAGCACATATATGATTGAAGGATTGAACTTTTGATCTTGTGTAAAATGTAATCACTATGAAAATAATGTGTTCAATCTCCCTCTAGAAAAATATACGACGGNTGATCTTATGTATGATAAATTCACTCTAGAAAATAGTATGTTCAATCTTCATGAAGTAGAATATACGACGCTTCTATTTATAGGTTGGACAGTTTAAGTAAATTGTGCCAAGTAAAAGTCTCGGAAATCGAAATTAGGTTTGGCTGATAAAATCAGTCGCTCGAATGAAAAGCACATTTCGCTCGAGCGAAGGGTCTGTCGCTTGAGCGACAGTTGGCCAAAGGTCAAGCTAGAATGTTCTTGCTTCATCCGCTCAAGCATGACTCCGACGAGCAGCTAGCGAAAAATCGACGTGAATCCTTCTTGTTCCAAACATGAAACCCCAAACCCCAAGCTAACCTACCAACTATGAAACTTTACAATTTAGTCTCTAAACTTTTATAGTCGTTCAAATTAGTCATTTTGTTCAGAGAATCGCCAATACAATATATAAACCTAAAAAACTCACAATTTGGCATTATGTGACAAAATCAAATACAAAACATAAAAAAACCTATCAAAACAACTAGAGTCAAACAGAA